TTTAATATGGTTGATGTTTCATTGCTCTTAACATTCTTATGTGTACATGTAGAAGTTACTTAGAATCCCGTCAACCAAATGAAATTTTAAATTATGAATATAGAGAAAAAGATGACTAACAACCTGTGTTTTTCTTTTATGTTCTAGTGTGTCACAACTCACAGATATGAATGAACAAGAGGAAGTATTACTAGAACAGTTTCTCAGTTTACCTCAACTAAAACAAATTATTAATGACAAGGATGACTTAGTAAAAAGTATTGAGGAATTAGCAAGTATGTCTTCCTTACTTCAGCTCACATTTCATGAGAGAAATTTGATCTTTACCTGGAAATAAACCAGATATTTGTCTCATAGGAAAAAATCTCCTCTTGGAGCCCAGTTTGGAAGCCAAAAGGCAAACTGTTTTAGATAAGTATTAGTTACTTACACAAATGAAATCTACGTTTGAAAAGAAGATGCAGAGACAACATGAACTGAGTGAGGTAAGGTTTATCTACTGCTTTTCCTTTCCTGCACAAACTTTTCATCCTACTGTGCACGGGCTATGGTTCTTTTCATCTGTATCAGAAGAAGTTTGCTAGTTGCCTTACTTTATAAGGCCTGATACCATTACATGTAGGTTAGTGGCTCTCAGTTATACAATACTATACATTCTTTGTGTTTATGTAAGAATGTATCTGCTCCAAAATATGAAAAGCCTCCACAAGACAAATTTGTAAGCTTAGGTACACACAACTTAAGATAGTTAGCAAATTAAGAAGTCAATATATGAAAAGTATCTTATAAAATTCAGCCTATAATTCTGAAGAAGTAATTTATAAAAGAATAAAAGATTAAAGTTGCAACTCAATGGTAGAGCACTTGGCTAGCATGCTGGTTAATTTTCAGCAAATAAAGTTAAATTAAATTTTTAAAAATGTTCATAGCACAAGTTAACAAGGCCACCACCCCATAAGTTATATATGGTGTTATATCTCCCATCAGCAAGTTAGGTGTGGTGATAAATGTTTTCAGTCTCAGCTACACAGGAAGCCTAGAGGAGGATCATAGTTTAAGGCCAGTCTTACGGAACAATAGTATTGTTTCCTTTAAAATTGATTTTAAAGTAAAATCAAAGTAATAAAATAACAATAAAATAAACAGTAGAGATCTTAAATAATACATAAATCCATAATGAATTTCAGGTACAATGATCATCTTTTAGAACAAAAGATGTAATAATTAATATTAATGGTTAATGTGTATCTTGTGTGTGTGTATATATATATATATATATTTATTTATTTATTTATATATCTTACACATACTGACCTTTTTGTTAAGCCAAACACTAGGTATGAGATAGAGATAGTTGCTACTTTTTTCTCTATTTTCCATTTTACAGATGAGGAAACTCACACAGGAAGGTTAACAAACTTCTTTGACTCCTGAGTCAAACTTTAGCAGTCCTCTCTCAAAACATGTGGGAATAACTGACCCACACTAGAGCTTAGTAGATGTTTAAGAAGCTTTTTCACAATAGTATTATTTCTTTTGATTCTAGTTTTTATTTGAATATTAGAAACCAACAATGCACATCACACTGACTAACCATTGCATGTCCCATTATCTCTGTTATATAATATTGATTATTATTACAAGCCAAGAAGAAAAAAAAAGAAAACTACAAAGGAACAGAAGCAGTGGTTTACTAATTTATCAAAAAATAATTTAAAAATCCTAGAGAAATGAGAAAATTTTTCTCTTGGTCAAGCAATTACTACTGCAAAAGTAAGTAGGGAAAAACCTTCACAATAGCAGTAAAATTGTAAAATACTGAAAAATGAACCAGATGACATGAATTAAGAAACTTTACTGTATGACAGATTTTTAGACAGATATCCAGTTTTAATGAAGTTGAAAGTGGTATATTACTATACATTCCTGTGGGTGTAATATCTCAATGACTTATCATCCCACATGCTATAGGACAGATATTTAAAAATTGGTTTAGTTCTTACATTCATTTTTATATGAAGTAAGATAAGGGTCCAGTTTTACTTCTTTGCATGTGGATATCCAGTCCTTCCAGCATCATTCTTTCCCTGTTCAACACATTTGCCCGAGGTGCTTATTTCTTCCAGAATCTGTCAGAGAATAATTGTATAGCTTTTCATTTTATTGTATACAGACAGTGAATTGGTTTCTCTTGTGTTTGTTGTCTGACCCTTTAGGAGATTTTCTCAGAGTCTATTATATAAGGCATACAGTGAATTGCCCTCTCAATAATTTGAACCCATTTCCCCACCCCCTCAGAGTAGTTATTTCTGAGTATTATAAACTAACATCATGCCTGGTTATTGGGTTGTTGATTTTTTTTTTTTCAGAGTTGTAGTGCAAGTGCCCTACAGGCAAGATTGAAAGTCGCTGCACATGAAGCTGAGGAAGAATCTGATAATATTGCTGAAGATTTCTCGGAGGGAAAAACTGAAATAGATGATTTTCTCAGTAGCTTCATGGAAAAAAGAACAGTATGTAATATTCAGTTGAGGATGAGTGACAGCATATGTCAAATTACATATATTTATGAGTAAAAAGCTTTAGCATATTACTGAACTTGAATTTTGAGTGCTGTAAGAGGAATCTGAAGAGCTTATATTGGGAAGGATAGCAACCTAACATCCTCTCACTTTAAACCTGCTTGTTATGAGTACACAAGCAAGTAAATCAAGTAAGAGTTCTGTTTCAGAAATAATAGAAGATGTTTCATTCTGTATAGTTAAGCTGTAGTCTTCATAGTTGTAATATTCCTGAATAGCAACCTGTTTTATTAACTATGGAGATTTGAAAAATATTATTGAGGGCTAGGGATTTGGCTCAAGTGGTAGGGGACTTATCTAGCAAGTGTGAATCCCTGAGTTCAAACCCCAGTACCATCTAACATATTATTAAGAACATTCTGCACAAATTCTGCTGTTTCTATTGCACTAAATTGAAAAACAAAAAGTCTAACATCTGTACTAGAGCCATGAATACCATAATTGCTCTGTAACATCACATTTTAAAAATAATCTGTCGTTAGTAATCTTTATAAAAACCAAAGTGATACGCACATGCATAAATACACATATGGGACAGATTTTATTATCTCTTTTTCATGAGAAAATTGAAGTTCACAGATGTTGATGATTTGTGTCTTGTTATACTAGTAGTATGGCTTCAGTTTCTGGTCCATTATTCTATTCTACATTGCTATGTAGGTATTACTCTTCCATGGTTAAAGGAGTAGAATTTATTTTCATATTTTTAAAATACAGCTATTTGAGATTGAATAGTTAGAGAATAAATGATCAGAATTTTATATTTCGGAAGTTTGCAAACAAAATTTAATGTTTTTCTGGATTATTAAATTCAAAACTTGAAGCCTTTGTCAGTAGGTTAAATAAAAGATTCTTGCTTAAAATTCTATAATAATGTAGAAATACTAGGCATATTTTTGGAGAAATGACTGATATTTTAAATAATTTATTTCTAGATTTGCCACTGTAGAAGAGCCAAGGAAGAGAAACTTCAACAAGTGATAGCAATGCACAGCCAATTTCATGCTCCATTATAGGTAAATTGTTTGAGTCACAAGAGTGTTATATAAGTATTCTTTGCCAGAATAGGTGTGTGTTTTTTTTTTTTTTTTTTGGTCAGTCTTGGGGCTTGAACTCTGGTCCTGAGAGCTATCCCTCAGCTCTTCAGCTCAGGGTGAGCACTCTACTACTTGAGCCACAGCATCACTTCCACTTTTCTAGTAGTTAATTGGAGATAAGAGCCTTACAGATTTTCCTGTCCAGGCTGGCTTTGAACCATGATCCTCAGATCTCAGTCTCCTGAGTAGCTAAGATGACAGGCCACTGGCGCCCGGCTCCAGAATTGTTCTTTTTTTTTTTG